CCTTGCTCAGGCCTTCTAAGGGCTCTCGTCCTTAGAGGGAATATTCCCTGCACGTACTCAGGTATCACAGCACCTGTTTCAACCTGGCCAAGAACAGATGGAGACAGACACTAAGGAGATCAGGGTGTTCATCTACCCATGTAAAAATCAACACAAATGCAATATCAAACCACCAAAAAACCCATAAGGAAATTCAACAAAGAGCAGAGGGTCGTGATTTTGCTATGCAATAAGTATGTCTCATGTGTTGATTTGCCTTACTGGTTCACTTCCGTTTTGTCTTTTTGATTTTTTTCCTAGTTTGTAGTGCCTTTTCAGCCATATTATACTTGCAATATAGCCTTGTCTTTCTTAATTATTTTTTTCTTTTCATAATTGAAGTTTAACCTATGTCCAGCTAAGTACAGAGCACACAAACCTTCAAGGTGTGGCTTGGTGATTATTACACAAGTAGACAGCTCACATGAGAGTACACACTGTGCCAGCACCCAGAGGTCCCCTGCATGGGCAGAGACAGCTGCCCTCTGACTCCCCCGACAGCAGGCACTGGGAAAATGCCACCTTTCTAAACAATGCTGATGTGACTCCCCATTGGTCATGTCTGGGAACTCTGCCCCTGGGTAGCTGCCATGGTTGAACTTCCCTCCAGAACTGGGATCTCAGGGGCTCATGTTGACAAGCCCTGTCTTCCTACCATTCCAGGTGCACTCACCTTTTTTGGTTTTTGTGCAAAATCATGGGTTTCATGGTGACATTTTCGTACGTGTATACAAGGTACTTCAGTCACATTCTTCCCCGTCATCCTCTTTTCACTGCCCCCCGATCCCAGAGACAGGCCCTGCAGACATCACTAGGGCATCCTTTTCTCCTCCTTGCCCAGCCCTGATGAAGCATCTTCGTCCCCTGTGCAGCCCAGCTGCACTTCGAGCCATCCAGGAGCTTTGAAGAAACGCTGATGCCTGGCCGCTTTCCCACAGGCTCTGATTCAGTGAGCTAGGGCGCAGCCAACAGGAGGTTTGGCTTGTTGCTGTTTCAAAATCTCCTCTGATGACTAAAGTACAGAGAAGTGAACACTGTTGCTACAAACTTCCCGGCCACAGCTTCTGCCCCTTCCACCCAGCAGACGACAACCAGGGCCAGTCTGTTCTGAGCCTCGGCCACTCTGCCTGCCTCAGGGCTCAGTGACTTTGGGCATCTCAGGTGCTGCTCATGGTGGGTGATCTGAGCCCACAGAGCAGGCAGAATCCAACCCCTGGTTCAAATCCACCTCCTGCCTCCTACAAGCTGTGCTGACCCCAGGGTGCGTGCGTCTGCATGGAGGGACCCTGGACTAGAACTCCAAGGTGTCAGCGCCCTATTCTTAAATGGGGTGGCCATTTGTGTTTCTCATTTTCTGTGTTTTTTGTTTGTTGTTTGCTTTTTTAAAGTAAGAGTCTTGCTATGTATCCAGGTTAACCTTGAATTCATGATCCCTCCCGCCTCAGCCTCCCAGAGTGCTGGGATTACAGGTGTGTACCACCACGCCTGCCTTAAAACCCATTTTTTGTGTGTGATGCTGGGTTTAATATACGTAAATTGCTAAAGTCATTTTAATAATGCATGTGTTAGCACTTTAAATGCAAGAACAAGTTGGCGCCTCTACCTAGTGCACTTACAGTCAGTGGCTGAAGATATTTGACAATTAAAGGAAAAGGTAGGAAGAAAACTTCGAGATCATATTGGCAACAGGGGAAATGAGACCAGAAGCGTTAAGAAACATGCCTGGGGCCACCCAGCAGATAAAGTGGCACAAAAGAAAGAAAGAAACAGTCAAAATCTAGGTTTCCTGATAGGAAACTATCTCCCTCACACCCTCTGCCAAATCACTGTCTTTTTTGTTACCTTTCTTACTCTGTGGCTGCCATCTCATTTTTAAAAGCTAGTTATTACTCTTAACATGGTCACTTTTATTGTCAGGGTTAAATAGCAATAAAGTAACCATATTTAGGAGAAGTGCAAACCAGCCCCCGGTCCAGCTCTGCTGCCCTTTTACAGACAGGGAAACTGGGAACCAGAGAGGACAGTGACTTGAACAAGTTAGCACAGCTTGTAGGAGGCAGGAGGTGGATTTGAACCAGGTCTTCTGGACACTAGCTCTGAATCTCTGCAGCCCTGCTGCCAGGCCTCTGTGGCTGACTGTCAGGAGTCCCTGGGATGCAGGATGCCGGGTTGTTTATTGTCCCTGAGGCTTGAAGGGCTGGGCAGGTGGGACTCTGAACAGAGTGGAGAAGGGGGCTCCAAGGGTTTTGCGGTCCAAACAGAGACACCAGGAACCAGAGGATGGGCATGGTGGGTGGCCAAGAGTCTTTCAGGTCTCCCGTGCCACAGGTATGATGCCGTGTGTCAGGACCCAGACTCCTGGGTGACATGGTGAGGCTTCGGCCAGCTGTGGGATTTCTGCATGTTTTCTCCCAGGGAAAACTGGGGGATGGGGCTCTGTGCCCACCTTTTCTGCTGGTGCTTGAGAGCAGCTACTGCCTAGCTGGCCCTGGCTGTTGGGGGACCCCATGAAACTCCCCCCCAACATCTTAGCTATCTGGGCATTTCAGAACATGGTCAGAGCTCCCAGTCTGGCTCCTGAAGTGAGCCCACAGCCCTGGGCTGGTTGATGGTGGGGAATGGTGTTAGGCCAGTGTCCCAAGCCACCGCCTTGAGCCTGCTGAGCTCTTGAATGGGCACGCACTTTTGGTGCCCTGCTTTGTAGAATCCTCATGGCAATTCTGGGAGCGGGAACCGATGCCATTCCTACTCTCAGATGAGAAAACCCACGCTTGAAGTGGAACGGTGACTTGCCCAGGTGGTAGTGGGCTGTCTTGGACCCCAGGCAGTGTGACCTGCAATTATGTAATTCCTATTAATACAGTCAAGAACCAGGGCCACCACTCTGCCACACACAGCCTGTCCTTGGCTATTGACACTGTCCTTTATCACGGTCCAGCAGTCTGATCTTTAGCAATGAACTGACCTCTCTCTGCCTCAATTTTCCTATCTGCAAAACAAAGATAATAACAGTCCCTGTCCCCTGCAGCCATTGTGTATGGGAGTCAAACAAGCTTTTCCATGTGACAGTATAAAACTCCTCCACCCGGAGTTGCCTTCATGAAGGTTGCTGGTAACTCAATTCTGATGACTCTTTACTGAGTCTTGCCTAGTCTCTCTTTAGTCCATCTGCCCTTCCGCATCTCGTGTGGTATGATAGTCAATGCCAGGGCCTTCGGAGGCTGGGGCACAACGCAGGCAAAGTCATTGCTTTGGATGTAATTGTCCCTGCGCTCTGGCCAGTGTGGTGGCTTCAAGTTCACACTGTCTCCGGGTGGCTCACCAGGAGCAAAGCTCTCTCTGACAACAGCCATGTTACCAACATAAAATTCAGCCTGCTTCTTACCCTGGCACTTGACACAAAGAGGGATGTCTTTCTGCTCTGCGTGTTGGTGTGTGGTGGCAAAACTGGGGGAAGAAACAACACAGCTCAGCGACCTCTCCTTATGAAAGAAAAGGAAACTGCTCTCCATTTCGGCTGGAGCGGCTTTCTAACCCGAGTAGCAGGGTGAGGCTTAATGATAAGCTAGTTTTGAAATCATGTCTGCCTAGAAGCAGAATGAAAGAACTGAACTTTGCATTTTGCTGAGTTTAAGCCTGGACCAGCAGGCGCCAGCAGGTACTGAGAGGTGGGTTTGCCTCTGTCCCTTGGTCTCTGCTTCCTGGACAGGGCTCCATCCCACAGCGGGAGAGCCAGGGGCCAGGCCAGAGCGCAGTGCATCCGGATGACCGCTCACTCAGGACACCACCCAACTCGGCTTCTCATTAAGCTGTGGTCATACGGTCAACTGGGTGTCAGAAAAAGGAGTCTCAGAACCCACATGTGGTATGGGGAGCATGGGTCCCTTGGCTCTGCTAATTGGGGCTCTCTTCTCATCTCCAGTAGGTTCTGCTCTGTGTCTGAGCAGAAAAGATAAGGAGAAAGCCAGGCTGTTCTGACCAGCGCCTGATGGACAGTCATGTGCTTGCTCCCAGTTGCCGACAAGAGCAAGAATTGTAGTCCCTCTGGTGGAGGGACCACCCTCCTCAGAAAACATCACCTGCTGTCACAGGGAGAACACAGGGCAATTCTGAGTTCCTCCAAAATCTAGCTGCAAGATGCCCTGAGCTGGAGGTCACTGGGTTGTTGCTGACGACAATATTCATACTGGAGCTACTGACTGGCCTGTTCCTTCTACAGAACTGCAAACGGGCCAGGCAGTCAGTCAGTCAGTCACTCTCCAAAAGCAAAATCATTCTCAGAAAATAAAGGAAGCATCAACTTCTGGTGGCCAGAGGATGCTTTTAAGGAATGCTCAGAAATTGTCAAACATGAATCAAACAACAGAAAATTGTTTTTTCTCCATCGGCAGAAATTGTAAAAACAAATATTGATGTCTCCCTTTTGTTTTTTTATACAGAAATAGTATCAAAAGAAGTGCACTCAATGAACTTATAAATTAAAGCAAAGAGAGGCCTGTTTTAAAATTTTAAAGCCCGTCCTCCCCCCACATCTCATAGCCCAAACCAAAAACAACACAGAGGGCTAATAATGGACCCTCCCCCCATTTAAATATAAAAAAGTATTGTGTTATATTGACATTCAGGCTAAATTTTTCCCTTATAAGGTGTTTGACATAAATGGCTTTTATGATGGAACTCTTAAATAGAGCACATTTGTTAACGGTCCCAGCTGCTATTGTTATCATTGGAGACATAAAATTGGAATTCCCAACCTACAATATCAAATTTTAGCACAAACTCTATAAAATGTATCTTGTCAGAATGTGCCAGAACCACTAAGCTCTCTTTGGCGGAACAAGTCACAGCTGGTGCTTGGTGCTGAGCCTCCAATTGCTGTGTCCTCTGGTTTGGGGAGCAAACTGCTCCCTGTGTTCCCCCTGCCACGGAAAGGTTGGCTTGGGAAGGCGTGGGTCTCTACCAGCCATGGCCTAGGCCATCTGATGGGTGACACCAGCCTGCAGGGCCGAGTCCAAGGCCTGGAGATAGGACCAAGCATCAGGAATGCCAGGAATGTTTTTCTTCGGGCTCTATCGAGGCACAGACCCTGGGGATCCTTTCGGCAGTGACAGTCATGACATTTGCCAGAGCCCTGGACGGCTGTAGAAATGGCATTGCCCACCCTGAGAGTGAGAAGGTAGCGTTTATTTTTGTATTTTTTTCTCTCTCTCCCATATACAGACTGTAGAAAGACCACCAAGCGTGGATCATTTTTTTTTCCCACCATGATGTACAATTCACATTTGTTAATCAAAAAAAAGTGCCCGAGGTCATCCACCTAGAGTTTTTTTTTTTCTTAAACAGGAAACGGGTTTCAGATGTTTATATGTTGGAAAGTATGGTTGCTAATCTGTTCCTCCATTTACCAGGGCCTGGATAACACTGTCTTACCTTTTAATGTTCAGATCTCAGAAAGTGACATTACCTTTTATTCCTCTTGTTTTTCAAGAATTAAAAAAAAAAAATCTTTCAATCATTCCCCCTCCTCCTTGCCGTGCTGGGGCAGCAACAGCGGAGGTTAAATAAAGAACCAGGAGGCTGAGGAAAGTTGTGCTCTCGGCCGCCCGGGTGCTCGGCTGTGAGCTGGAGAATATTGTCCTGTGTGGAAATTCCTGAACACAGAGCATGGTCACACTCGGTTTCTGGGGTTTGTGCCCAGTGATGGCTGCCGAGACATCCATCCAGACCCATGCTAGATGCTCACGCACACAGTGGGAACAAACCCACTGCAGAAGCAAAAGCAGTTCTTAAAACACGATTCCCATCCATCGATCGGTCGGTGTGACAATTCCCTCGGCTCTCCCCGCATCGGACGGTGTGAGGTGACAGAGAACAACTGTTTCCAGGGAAACCCCGGTCCCCCAAAAGCCTGCGACTTGATATTGGAAATACAATTTTTTTTTTTTTTTTGTATCACTGGTGTTTCCCCTTTGCCTCAGGGCTGGTAATTTTCGACAATCACCGAGGGTTCCCGGTTAGTACGGCAAATCAATGATATTTTTTTCCGTTATGTATTTATAGTCCGAGGAGAAAGATCACACACAGGACGTTTTATATTTTTCGTGTGTGTGCGTGAGCATTTGAATTGTCGACTTAAAGGCTATTTTAAACAGAATTCCAAATAAAGCCAATGTATCATTTGCTACGATTAGATTGAAAGGCCCTGATTTTTAACCCACTTGCATTTGACCAAATGCTCTAAGTCTGTGAATCTTGCAAAAGAGTCAAAAGACAGTTCTTGCTTGTTTCATCAGCGAGAGAACCGAGTTCTTCAAATCAGCCCCGCATTATTGGGCTCAATAAAAAGAGTTATTTGTAAAAATGAAAACATGCACAAAGACTCATTCCCTAGTTCCCTGCTTCCCCAAGTAGATATTTGCTTCAACGATGCAAAAAGCCGTTTATTTTCTTTTTTCATCAGAGTGGCTGGGAAAAGACTAGTACAATATAAAAATGCAGAAGTGTCCGAACTCCTTTAAGCGGAGGCAGAGTGGGAATTACAAAATGGAATTTAAAATATATTTTTAAAACAGGCGAAACAGCTCTTTTTTATTTCTCAGGTGTGTTTTGTTTAACTTGATGTTGGGATCATGTGAGGTGACCTCCACAGGAGAGAAGTTAAGGACTCCCAGCAAAAGACCAGAGAGCAAGACTTGTAATTTTGTCACCTGCAGGGATGTCAGCATAAACAACATTGGTGGCTCTCTGACAGAACGGCTAGTGAAAAACCAGTCCTCTAGGTGGAAGCCCGGGGACTGGGACTGCAGAGCCTCGGGGCAGACCCATGTCCCTCCAAAGTCCCCATCCAGCATGCATCTGTGCACCTGAGAGCCCTGGTTCTCACTCAGAGAGAAGTTGCTTAGCAGGACCTGTGGAAAGCCTCAGGGAGCGGGGGCAGCAAAGGGGACAAGGGGCTCAGTGTCCACACAGGGACTAACCACCACCCAGAGAGAGGAACCTGATGTAGGGAGCGTATTTTAGTTACAGTAAAACCTCCGTTTGGCCCAGAGGCTAACGTGGTTTGGAAATCACAGGAGAGGGACTTGTTTTGGGTGGCGTGATTTTTTTTTTATGTCTTTTTGACCCCCAGACCGTTTATGAAGAGAAAAATGTGGAGCTTTGCAAATGCACTGTGGTCGCCCTGTCAGGTCAGAGCTGAGATGTTTCGCAAGTGAACACCTGGCCACCGTAAATCACCCCACGGTAAACACGTCAGGCGGGGACTCGGGCTGCAGGCGGCCGGTGGCATCCTCCCGCCGGCCAGGTCCATAAACCAGGCTCTGGCCCTGCACTAATAAATGTCCCTTTCACGGAGAAAAACCCCCTCCCTCCTGGCTGGGAGCAGAGCCCCCTTTATAGGGGTTGCTGAGATAAGGAGCAGGGACCCTCCACCCTCACTGGGGCTGACTTACCAGGGACTGAGCTGGGAAGTGGGGCTGCCAGGTGTTAGAATGACTTTATGGTCCCTCAGGAGGGGAGTGGGCTACGGCTTCAAGGTGGCTATTTTGGAAGGCAGCTCGCGAAGATAAAATTCAAGCTTTAGTTTTTAATATCCTGTTAGTAAATGTGTAAGAGTAGTAATAACAGTAACCAAAAGAACTATATCGAAATGTCCCCAAAGCCAGTAGAAGTCAAAGTGACATTTCCTCTTTCAAAACGTATTGGATTAAAATATTAAAATAACTTTCTTTTTCCCTGCTCCTGTCTTTAAATCCTGACTCCTCACGGATGGGCACCCCTTTGATGTAGACGGATGTTTGGAAAATCTCCCACAGGAGGAAAAGCAGAATAATACATCTTAAAAAATTGTCACCTCCTCAGGAGCTTCTGATGCTCTACTGAAAAAAAAAAAAAAAGAAAGAAAGAAATCTCTCCCTGTAATTATCTGGTTCAGAGGAGTTTTAAAGTGATATCTTCTGTCTTCAACCAGACAGACGTGAGGACAGGCAATATAAACATATAAAAGTAGCCTTTGCTGGAAGCTTTTAGTGGCTCTCTTCCTTCCTACCCACAGCACGGATTGCAGAAATGTAAGAAGCTGGAGACAGACTCTCTGCCTCCGAGACAGACCCAGCACCGAAGAAAAATAACCCGGAGAAATTACTTCTCAGCCTCAAGTGAAGCCGGGATCAAATGGTTGCTGATCGGAGCAAATATTTAAATTGGATAAGTCAAATGGAGCATTATTGAATAAAGGTTGTTTAATAAGTCTGAAACAGCAGTACATTTTGAAGAGCATTTTAAACCTGATACTAGAGACCCAGCCGAGTGCAGGTCTGGGGCGCTCAGGAGTTTGCTGTTATGGTGAAAAGGGTGCTAATCTGCTTGCAAGAACTGTTTCCCCCATGTACAAAACGAAAACAGAAAGGTTTTTAGGTAGCCATTTAAACCGTCAATGTGACATAATAAATATAAGACAAGTGACCCGTGTTCTAACGTTTATTCGGGGGACACAGTACAGCCCGGCTGATGTGGGGACACGGGGCCGAGCTGGGACTGAGCTGGGGCCGAGAAGATCCACATGTGGGGAGATGTTTTCCCACCAGGGCACAGAGGGAGAGCAAGTGACCCATGCTCTCACTGAACCTCAAGCCTCTCCCTCACGGGCTCTCCACTATTTACATTTTGCATTTTATTTATAGGACACCAGATGTCTATGTTCAAAAGGGAAAAATCACTCAGAATATAAAACCTACCCGTCCCCACATTTGTTAGCTTTTTGGATCTTTGTGCCTGCCCCCGACATGTGTCTGTTTGTGCTTTGGGAGTCAGTTTAGAACCGGGGTCTGTGGTCTTCTCCCAGGCAGCAAGGTGGGAGAGTGAGCATTTATTCCCGTGAGCACATCTGTATTTCCAGATCACCTTTCCTCCTGTGTAAATGGAAGGAGATGCACCATGTCCCGACAGTAAGAGTGTCGCCCTTTCTCAAAGCCGCTCTCTTGCTTCTCAGTCTTCTGACTGTGGGAGCCGACCGAGGCCAGCTGTAACTGGACTTTCAGAATACGGGCCAAGAGCCTCCCCGCACCGCACCGGAAGGCTACGGCTTGGGCAAGCAGACTTCAGTGCAGCTTCTTTCTTAAAAATGTCCTTGGAATAAAAGGTGCTTCAAAAATACAAGTTGATATTTTATTTGCTTCTTTATTGTTTTCATGGTCAGATGGCCTTGACATCCAAATCCAGCAAGGAATATGCACCCTACAAATCCATCCTGACGGATCTGCCCCAAGTTGGTATCTGGGGCTCCTTCCCAGATAACTTGGAGATCCTGCAGATTCTTTTCCTGAAACTGGGTCCCCCCACCCCACCCCTCCCTGCCATGCTTGGGAAATGTGTTCCCTCCCGAGCACACATAGGCCAACAGTTTAGTTCTCAGTTCAGATCACTTCAGGCTCAGGCTGATTCCTTCCTGATACGTCACACTGGACAACAGTCTGGCAGCAAGTGATGGTGTCCTCAAATGAGTCCCTGCAGCCTGGTGGAGAGCAGTGAAGTACCTGCGGGCCCCTGTGGAGTGCCCTCTAGGGGACAGGTGTATTACAGGTGCACCCACCACAGATGAACTCCAGTCTTGGAGCCTTCTTAGCAGGCACTCCTAAGGGCAGAGCATACCAGCAGCCATCAAGATAAATTGAGCAATAGTCAGGCCAGGGGTAGACAGTCCACACTAGGGACACATTCATTCCCCAGGCCCAGGTGAGTTCTGTTTTCCAGCCTCCCACTGAATGCTTGTACTCGCATCCAAAGAAAGGCAGTCAAGGATGCCTCCGTGCTCAGTTTTGAGGGTTCCTGCAGGTAGAGGGGACAGAGTGGCTGAGGATGCCTTAAGACAGAAGAGCTCAAGGTTGGTCCCAAAGTGCTAAAGCTGCCCTCCCAGCTTTAGCAGCAGCTGGAGGCCCCACTTCAGAAGGGCCCGAGAACTGGTTTTTGTTCCCGATGTGGCCTGCAGCAGCCTTACACCTCGAGCATCAAAGTCCAGGCCGGAAGGAGGTGGTATCTTCAGGGCTGGGGATGCAGACAAGGAGGGAGAAGAAGGAGGTGACAGGTAGGTGAGGGCTCACTTGAAAAGCCTTAGGATTAAAGACCCAGGGAGGGGAAGAAGCAGGCAGCAGACCCAGATGAGAAGGTGAAATGGGGTGGGGGCAGGGCTCGCAGAGGCCCTGCTCTGTAGAAAGTGTGAGATAAAGAAAGGTGGGTGGTTCAGGGGGGCAGGCGTGAATCATGCCATCACCATTTGGCAACTCGATGCTTCTGCTGGAGATAGCTTTGTCTCCTGCTGTCTCCTGAGGCGTTGCCACCTTGGCTGTACCTCACCATCCTGAAGGCAGCTTTTACAGTACAAGGACTGCCTGCACCCCAGATATTGGGGAGAACCCAGTTGGGGTGTGGGACCACTCTGTTTTCTTTTTGGTTTTAGTTTTTGGGCCCCGGCTTTGGCCAGGATGAAGACCCAGTCCCTGCATCTGGGCTTCTCAACTCAAGTTTATTATAGAAGTTCTGCTTAACTTCCTGGGTGCTTCGTTTCAGTGGTTTTAACTCCTCTCTTTTAAAGATGCCCACACCAGGTGCACAGGAAGCCTGGCTCTGCATACCAGGCATCCAGTGCAGTGCATTCTGGGTGTGGCTCTTGGTGAAGCAGGATTGCTATTAGTGAGAGAAAGCGCTCCAAGATAGCTTTGAGGTCTGCCTCCTTCCCTTCGTTGGCTCCAGTGGGCTGAAGGAAAGCCAAGGACACCTTGAGTCAACCTGGTTCTTGCTCAACCCCGCAGCCAGCCCTCCCATGTCAAAGCCACGGAGTGACCAGGACTGGCCCAAACCTTAGTGGTGATCCTGACATCAATCACTTTCTCTTTCTTAGCAAGTGCAGCAAGATAAAACAAAAAGAATTTAGAAGTCTGGGGAAAATTCAAGTCGATGAGTTACGCCATGAATTCTGATAAATTATTCTTAGTCGTGACGTCCTCTCAGTCCACTCACTTCTGTTCCTATAAGCTGTAAGCTGACAGTGACGGTTGGTGGTCACTGTGGCTGTGACCTTTGGGGTAAGATATTATTTTCTGCCCATTTTGCATATGGGGTGAGTGAGGTACAGGTGACCTGCTCTGAAGCACACAGTTGGGAAATGCTAGGATGTGGTTGCAACTGGCCAGGCCCCAGTGCTCTGCAGGTCAGAGGTGCAGAGGAGAAGGGGTGGCATGAACTGGACCCTGACTGTGACCAGGCAGTCCTCTCATGTGTGGAGGTCAGAGTCTTGCCTCTCTGTGACTGTGTTCTGGGAGCTACGTTCTGTCCCCTTCCTGAGACCTGAGTCTCCTCTTGGCTTGGCCATGGCTGCCTCTCTCCCCCACCCACTCTGGACTTCACTCCATTTCCTGCTCTTTTCCTTCTGGGCCCTGCGGGTTTGGATTAGGATGCGCTGGGGTCTGGTTGTTCTCAGGGAAGAGAAGAAACTGGTGTGGAAAGGCCAAGCCAGCCCTGGCCGGGGCAGAGCCTGAGGCTTGAGGTGGGGAGACACTGAGCCCGTGTGGGAGGAGGGGTCCCAGCCACAGCAGACCCTGCAGTTCTAGGGAACAGGGAGGCCTTTGGCCTGTTTCTCTTTAGGTTGGTGGAGGATACACACTCTCATTTTGACAACACCAAGGAACCTTTAGGTCTCAGTCAGGCCAGGGGGCGACAGCCTGCAGTGCTGTGTCTCAGAAGCGTGATTTCTGCAGAGCCGGGGCCCTAAAGTGGCCCTCCACTCCCAGCCTGCCTCTCCACTTGGGTCAGGGACAGGGTGGGCCACAGCAGCCAGGTCCAGGAGACCCCAGTACCCTCCAACTCCCTTAGACCTGCCATTCAACTCAGCTCTGGAGCCCTGTCTCCTTACTGTGAAATGGGCCCAGCCCACAGCCTTCTAGCACCTTCTGCAGTTATAACAGTAAGAAAAACAGTACGGGCAGGACGCCTGTCCATAAACGCCTCATCCTCATTGCATCGAGGACTCACACTTCAGATGCTGGCACGGAGGCGCAGATGGGTGACACCGTTTTAACTGAGGTCACACAAACATCGAGATTTGAACCCAGGCTGTCTGGGTCATGGTGACTGACCATTAGCCCCTCTCAGCTGTTTGGGCTGGTAGCCTCTATTATTACCACGAGGAGTTTGGCTTTCATCAAAGATTTTTTTTTTTTTATTTTTAAAAACCTTTTTATTTATAGATCATTGTAGATTCACACATGGTTTGTGAGAAGTAATACAGACAGCCCATGTTCCCTGTACCTAATTCCCTGCCTGGTGACATTGTTCGTAACTACTGTACAATTTCACAATCAGAACTAGGTGTGATCTACCAAGAATTCTAGCACCAGGCTAGACCAGCTCAGACCATTTTTGGCATCCTTTGCCCTATTCCCTCTCTCTCTCTCAGGAACCTTCAATAAAACTCCATCCATCCATCCATCCATCCATCCATTCATTTTTGTGGGAGCAGGGATTGCCCACCATCTGAGGCATGCTAAGCAACTGTGGTACCACTGCACTGACTGCAGAAACTCACAGAACTGTGGCATCTTTCTGAGCTCCATCTAAGGATCCATGAAACAGGCCTCATGCTTCCATCTGCAGGGAGGTGCTGAGGTTGAAACACCTAGGGTGGCAGGTGTCCAGGCCTGGTGTCCAGTGGAAACAACCCTGGCAGGTCGAGCTATACACTCTTCCCAGACGTTCCGGAAAGCCTGCTTTGCACCTCCAGCTCTCTGCCACTGCTCTATGGGGGTCTCTGTGGTTTCTCTGGCCCCTTAATGGCCTGGGATCTTTCAACAGTTAAGGGCATCGCTAATAAGAGGTGTGAGAACAATTTGCATCACTTGACCGAGGCTGGATTTCTGGAGAGTGGTGTAGGTTTAAGTACAAAGCGTGGAGTCTTTGCTAATTCTGCTGACTTGAAATAATAAACAGCTTAACACCCTGCATTGTTCCGAGGCCTAATGAAAACCATGGTGGCCTCCAGCCCAGGAAGCGGCTGGGACTCAGGAGACAGCTGGAACTGAGCGCTCCCAGTGGTCACACTGCTGCAAGGTGCGGGGCCTTCCTGCACAGAGAGAACCTGGCTTCTCTCCACTGTCCTTTTCCACTTTCTGATTAAATAAAAGAGAAAGCATCCCTTTCCAGTTACTCTGTCTCAAGCCTCCCCAGCAAGCATAGGCCTTTGATGTCTGAGTTCATCATCAGAATACCA